CTATCAAATTTTTATTTGCAGATTTGCTTTTCTTTTTTATCATGTATCCCCTTTATAGACAGTTGTCAGTCAAGAAAAACTAGTTTTGATGTGTATTACAGTTATTTGTATGATATGTCCCTGTAATTTTTTTTTCTGTATTAGCATAGCACTGTATGTATTTCTGTAATTACAGATGTGATTACTTTTATTTCTCAGGACTATTATGGGCCCTCATGGAATCAATCGAGCTGTTCACCGCATTTCTTTTTCTGATTGCCAGGATGGATTAGGTAATTAGATTGCACATTTTCTTTATTAAGAGTAAACTGGGTCTAAAAGTACCAGGTGAGCTTTCCCACTTCACACTGACGTTAGCAGAAATTCAATTTATCCGTCTTTGAATTTGATTGTAAAACCATGTGGCACAGAGGGTGGAATAAACAACAACAACTTATTTCCCATTTGTTTTGCAGGAGTTAAAATTATTGGAGGTTATCGAGCACAAACAGCTGAAGATTATGGGATCTTCATTAAGAGAATTCTGCCTGGAGGGATTGCTGCTGTAGATAGTCAGTAATTGTTCTTAAATTTTGTTACAAACTTGTTTTATACAAAAAGCTGCTAGGTCCAGTCATCTTTATTTTACTTTGTGTATGAATGTACTTAAAATAGCATGGGTTATGTTCCTGATACTGTGACTTCTCTTTAAGATAAGAGACATGAAGCATAGATGATTCGTGGGAAAATATTTTAATATTTTCAGTTTTTGAGAATATATTCTGACCTACATACAAAAGCAGTTGGTAAGCTCTCAGCATAGTCAAATAAGAATTGAGATGCCCCTGTTAGTTTGGAGGCATTAAGAGTCTTCGTTCCTGTAGAGAATCTGTATTTGTTGAGATCCAGTACATTTTTTTTGACTGTCATTTAGGTGTTCAGTGTGGAAGGAATAAATTATCCTACATATTTTTCAATACTAAAAAAATTTACGGAATATAATTCTGTCCCAGAGCAGTGTTTGGGTTTTGGGTTTTTTTTTTTTTTTTGAGATTCCCCTTGGCTTTATGCAGAATGATTACTTAAGGTGATCTAAATCTATTTCGAAAATATTAATTCCTAAACTTGACATTTGGAGAAAGTTAAAATATAAAATTAGTTAAAAAAAAAATCTTATAAATGGCTTTCTGGAATGTATAAACCGTGAATATTTTTGTACATTATAACTTGTAGCATAAATCAGCTGAAAATTAATTCTACAACTGGAATTGAATTGAAGGAAGTATAAATTCCAGTCTGGCAAATACCTATGTGTTATGTGTAAATAATAAAGAACAGCTAAATAACATTGTTTTTAGTGCCTCTTCTGAGATTAGTGATGCTGATAGTCTTCACGATATTATAGCTAAATTAGTATCAGAGCCTACGATGCTGAAAGTCATGATGTTATGTTTGCTGCAAACTGAAAGGAAAAGCTCTGCTTTGTCCTGGTGGTGTAGTATGTTCCCCGTTTTCCTGTTGACTCATAAACTCCTGTTAATCTCATTACAAGGCCGTTTGCTTACTGGAGACCTCATTTTAGATGTCAATGGAGAAAACTTAATAGGAGTAACCAATGAAAGGTATGTTTACACAAATGACTAGATGTTTATTAGAGTTTGGAATACTACATGTTTTCTGCTGTAGTGTATTTTGAATCACACTGACCAGTGATTAGGAGTAACTAACTCCTCAGAAGTCCTTGGAGTTAGTTATACTGGGAATGAAGGTGTCCTGTAAGTCTAGTTCAGTAAAGCTGTCATGGAACACGACAGCAATTTACATGCTTGGATAATGACAGAATAGTCCAATTCTTAAGGCTCTAGATTATAAAATGTATTTGAATGCACTAAAACATTGATATGTTACAATATTAACATTCTAGTAATTATCTGTTGCTTTCATACACGTGAAAGTAAGTGATGCAGCTAACAAGAATCAATTGTTTGTAATGAAGCAATTAAGGAGAAGTAGAATATGTTCTGTGGAGTGTGTTGGATGTTTTCTGTAGCTGGATCATTAGTGATCAATATGAAGTCCACAGGGTTGAGTGAGGTGCAAACAGATAAAAATTACAGTGTGCATTGCTAAGGGAATTCCTGAGCAACGAGGCATACCTAAGTAATACCCTGGTCTAGATGGCTAATCCTCTGGGAAATCTAGGAAAGCAGTAGGATGGATCCTGGAAGAGATGTGGGTAAAAGGGAAGGGAAAGACATGGCAGTTCCAGTTGGCTCCTGTCATCAAAGCCAGGGTCCCTGCAGAGCCTGGCACTCCCTTCTCCAGTGCCCAATGTGGGTTATGCTGTTGACAAGCTTTCTTCTCTCTGTCTGCCAGTGAAAACTATTATCTACTTCAATAATCTCTTGATTTCCTACTATTTTACTGTTACTCAGAGTATAGTTTGTGACAGAACACCAGTATATATATGTACTTTATTGTTTTTTCCTCCTTTTAGGGCTGTTGACATCTTGCGAACAGCATCAGCATCCAATCATATGTCTCTGCTAGTTGCTAGAGATGAAGAAGCAAAGTAAGAGAAAAATAAAACATTGTTTTAAAAAAGCATTCTACCTCAAAACTGATAAAATTCAATGCTATACCTAAAGTAGAGAGGGGGATTTTGTGTAGATTTCTTCCAGATTAAGAATTATTTGTGGGATTGCATAAGATGTCAGGGCTTTCTGTGTTATGGTAACACTTTATTAGTGTACTGGGCAATGCAAAATGAGTTGTTCTGTTCAGTTTAATTACACTTTTACATCAGTTAAAGTAGGAAGCTTCAATTTCAGTTTTGAAATGACTGAAACCCTATGCTACCTGCTAAAAGTCTTAAAAGCTATTTGTTGTGATAATAATATGTTGCTTTTCATTATTTTAGAATATCAGAAGTGCTAGCAAAAATAATATTAACCCCCAGGAGTACTAAACTATGATTTAAGCAGGTCTTACTATGTAAAAAAGGCAAATATGGTTATCTCTTCTCATCCCTTCCCACCCAAAGTTCACTTTTCAGTCTCCAATGACTTCTGAATTAGTCTGGATAAGTAGGTTAAACTGTTCAGGGTAGCAGGTAGTCCAAAATTCCTCTATTATTAGGACATTTGTACTAAAATACTGCTTTAATCTTGTTATCTGAAGTTAAGCATATAAACCAATATTAGCATAGAATTGTGGGGCATATTAGGATGGAAAGAAGCCAGGAAGCCCATCCAGGTCTGTGCTTGCTTTGCATGTAGCAGCTGTTTCCTCCAAAGATTTATGTAACTATATTGGATAGTTTTTGGAAGGGTGTCTGCTGCTATTTGCTTTTCATATGATGTTTGAAGTAATCTTTTCATAAAGGACTTTTTTTCTAAATTCCTTTAGCCCTCCATCTGCCTTACGTGTGTTTTCTGTCGCTTTATTTTTGTATTTTGCAGAAATCTAAATGACTCCATAGCCTCTGTTCTCTCCTTTTTTACCAGACAGTATAGATAGGAGGTCCTCTCTTAATCCGCTTTTATCTAGAGCATAATGACCTAGTTCCTCTAACCTCCTTGAATATTTAAAATCCATCAATTCTGCTGCTTAGCACTATCTGCTTGTAGGATTGCATCAGTTAATTTTATTATTTTATTTTTAAATAATACATCAAACTGAGATTTTAATAACCCTTTATAGTCCCGATAATTACTTGAGAATTGCAATCCCAAGAAAGTGCAGTTTCTGTTCTCTAACTCTGTAAGATTAATTTGCTGATGTTTCTGGTTTACATCATTCTAGATAATTTTGCTTCTATTTTCTGTTTAAAAAAAAGCTCTTACTACTGAAGCAGTTATAACTCAAACTGAAAAACTTACAGGGTAAAGAGAGGTAATTAAGCATTTTTACCAATATTCCATTGTATTTGTAGTCTGTAGCTCTTCCATCCTTATCCTTTTGTCAAATTTTGTCAAAGAGCATCTTTTTATTGCCACAGAAAGGAATTCCATCACCTGATGGACAAGTATGGCTCTCATAGCAACACCGACTCTGCAAGAAGTTCTCCAACACAACTATTGGCAGGTAAGGATATTACTGTGCTTTTCATGGCAGGGAAAACAGGATTGCTTCCAGTCCTGGTATAGCCTCGTGGGACTATAGTCATCCTTCTGTGGAGTAGAATATATAGTACTTAAAACAGTTTTCATTTTGGGGAAGGTGTGTTAGACCAGTCAGAGCAAATGTCTGAAGTCAGGCAAAACACACATGTTTACTAATGACTTTAGCATTCACTGTGTAATCTAAACATGCAACTTGACAGGTCCATGCCTCAGTTTCCCCAGCTCTAAAATAAATGTGCTACTAGCTATGTTCAGTGATTTTAATTAACTAATAGTATGAAAGGTGTTTAGTATTTGTATATAAAACATGACATAAGATTTCAAAATAGCAATAAAGACTTGGGTTAGATTACTTGATGTTCTCATCCTCCTGGAGTGGTTGAATGTCTTCATATATCTGTGCAGTCATCCTTCAGGAAAGAGACTCGAGATGTTTTGGAGGTTTTGTTTGCTTGTTTCCAAGCTGGACAAAAAAAATCATGACTTGCTAGGTTTTTAAAAAAGTGCTTTTGGAAACCTGAGTGGTTCTTAATTTTTAGCTGGGCAGAATCTTTAGTTAGATGCTTGTTTTTGTGTGCATGCGCTTTCTAACATGAAAATAATCCAGTGGAATTATTTACATGAATTGAAACAAATGTGTGCAAATGTGTGTTTTATTTCTTTTTTTTTTTCTTATTTCCTCTCCCTTTTTTTTGTCTCCTTTAAGCAAAACGTATTGACAGCCTTTCTTCTGGGTCATCCTCAAGGTCACAGAGTCCTCAGTTCCATCCAAAGGATATTACTGCCATGAACAGCAGAAATGATTCTGTCCTAGCACCGTCCCCAAAGCTGGCAAAGTAACTTCTGAAATGACTGAAACTCTCTTGTTCAAACTGTAGAAATTACTGTATTAGGTTGCTCAAGAAAATACTGCATTAAGCACTGAATGCTTAAACATTTTCAATTATGTAACTGATAACACTACTGATATTTCAAATTCTTTCAGTATTAACCAGCTATTTTTCTCCTCATTTTCCCATTTATTTATTGTTTACAGAGTAAAAGTAGATTAATTGAGTTGTCTAGATCTAATGAATAATGCCCCTGGTTTATGTGTGCACAGATGCTCCCATAAACCTGTCTGTAGTACTGAGTTTGGTCCTGTGAAATGGTATATTGGTTATTTAAAAGATAAGTCGGAATTGCCAAAAGTAGTAACTGAAATTGCTGATTTTGTAGTAAGTAGACACTGTAGTGCTTGAACATTTGGATTAAATGTCTGCTACTTCAGTTTGATTGCTGTAATACATATTTATGAAATCAACAAGCTAAAGGTTACATCAGTTGTGACTCTAAATTGAATATATATTTCTGTGGAGTAATTCTGTTCTTTTTCTTTTCCTAGGGATAGTGTGTTTCAGATTATCTCTGTTTGTAAAGGAACAAGCCTAGGTTTGAATATTGTAGGAGGAATTAACAGAAATGAAGGGCCTTTGGTTTATATTCAAGAAGTTGTCCCTGGTGGTGACTGTCATAAGGTAGAAAATTTAAAGACCTTTTTTTCATTTGTTTCTAACAATTGCAATACATAAACCAGGACAATTTATAAGTTTTTTTTTTTAAAAAAAGGGCAGAGGACTCTTTCATCTGCTTCAAGCACACAAAGCTGCTTTTCCAAGCGTGCTCTTTTGTATCCTGTGTTCTTATGGTTATTTTGATGGATAGATACTCGTGTTTTCTTGCCAAGTATGTATTAATTTCACCAGCAATGATTTTGCCACAAACTTTGTCTATAGCTATTTCTGACCCAGATTTTCTAGATTAAGGGTAATCCCAAAATGCAGTGACAGCAAGAAAAAGTACAGTGTTTCTTCAAAACTTCTTTTAATCGATAAACAGTAATTTTTTGTGCTATTTCATGGTGGCCTTTAAAACATTTTCTCATCATAAATATCTGATTTGAAGCCTATCACATTTTTAATCAATGGAATGAGAGTCATTAATCTGCAGTAGATTCTAATATTAGCAATATTAGAGATAATTGTCCCACTTTGACTATCCCAAAGTTTGAGGAACCTAGACAGGAAATATATTTAGAGTTTTTGCCACAGGAGGGCAGCATTGAAGTTCACATCTTTTAATAGGCTGGACGTAATCAGAATGGAGGATGCAGGACTTAAGTAACAAGAAATTTAGCAGAGTTCTGTCAAGCAGATAATGCGTGTGTGTATTGTAAATACCAGCTTAATTTTTATATTTCCTACAATATTTTTATACAAAGTTTGTTGCATACCTGTAGGCTATTTCTGTGTTTGATCTCTTAGAAATTGAAGAATACAGACATGTTGCATGTATTTAATGCATGTTACATTAGAAAAATGTGGCAGTTCTTAACAGATGGAAAGATGTGGCCAGCGTGCTCTACTTAGACATTCTTCCTGTAGCATTAACAGTTGTTGGAAAATTTGTGTGTGTGTGTTTGATTTTGATTTGTTGTGGATTAGGACGGGCGATTGAAGCCTGGAGATCAGCTTGTATCCATAAACAAAGAGTCAATGATTGGTGTTTCCTATGAAGAGGCGAAAAGTATCATCGAGAGAACAAACATGAGGTAATTGTATTTGTCAGGCTTCCAAACCTCCAAAATGGTTGTTGTGTGATACCTGTACTCAGATTAATGTAAAACATTTTGTCATGTGTGGTTTGAGGAAATAAAAAGGATATTCCTGATTCTGAAATATTCAGCTATGACACTGTTTCTTATAAAAAGGACCAAATGTGTCATTTATCCCTGTATAATTATGGCAAACTTTCTTTCCTTTTAAAGGAAATCAAAAACATACTACATGTTGTTCTAGTGCTAGGACATGGAATGTCCTTAAAAAAAAAAAAAATCACACATGGTGTTTGGGAATTTTTTTGCGAGAGGAGCATATCATCTTATGAACAATGTCATATGCAACGTGTTCTCTTATTTTCATTTTAGATTTGAAAGTTTTTGGGAGATAGCTTTCATTAGACAAAATGAAAGCTATTCAGAGGAACTGCAGCGACCGTCCAGTCTCTTAACACCATCCTCTGTAGTTTATGGAGAGCAACAGGCTGCAGTAGTTAGTCCCCTGGCATCTCCTAATGGGAAGCTTGTTTCGAGGCTCACCACTAATGCTGTGAGTAGACTTAGGACAAGTGTTAGTATAAACTGAGCAAATGGTTGTTTTCTGAATTCTACTCAGGCTTCAGTATAGGGTTCCTTTACTTCAGTTTCTATTCTAGTAAGAAAAATGAGTGGCTCCTTTCCTACAAAACGTTTATTCTTTGGAATATCAAGACTCTTCCAGATGGCTTACTGTGTAACAGTAGAATAAACCAAACTGATGAGAGAGATAAGAATACAGGTTGACTTGTGATGAGAAAAGAAATCAGCTGAAGGAAACATTGACTGCATTCTTACATGCAAAGGTTTTCTTTGGTGTTTCCTAGGCAATAAAGGTTAAGAAGGAGATATTTTCTGTTTAGTCAATTATGTATTTCAAAGTTAGGGAGTCATTGCTTACTATGTATGTGCGAGTACAGATCTCACAAGTTACACCTCCTCCATGGTAATGAGATTTTTGATCAAAAACCAGAATCCATTCATTATTTTAATTCAAATAGTTCACCCTTGCTGTACAAAGCAGTGTTGACCTTAAGACAAGAAAGAACATTTTAGAATTACTCCATTATTTTGATTTTTCAAAGATATTTTACAATTTGAAGCATTTTTTAACACCAAATTAATTTTTTTGAACAAAAAAGAGGAAAATGTTCCATGTTAACTATGAAGTCAGAAGAGGTGATTCTCAGCTGTTCTTACGTTCATATTTGAAACTCCTGCCCATTTGTTCTTTCTTATCAGAAATATAAACATAGAAGCAGGTTGCCCATAGAGACTCCCCTGTGAAAATATTCATTCTCCATCTGTGAAAATATTCAAAACTCACTCAGCTGTACAAGTCCTTGATCTAAATTGGCACTGGCTTGAGTGTGCTTGCAATTATGTATGGGCTAGACCACTTACTTTCTTAAGTGGTTCCTTGCCACAAAACAAGCAAATTTCTGTTTGTAGGTGCAGTGGATCTGAACAGATGCCTTTAACTTTTTTTCTTCTTTAATGACATTTCTCACTTTCCCCAGCTTGAGCAGCTCTTCTCTCAGGATTGTTTTAGTCTAGCCACTCCTTTGCTCTCCCCTCTGCCTTCCTTCTCCTCCCTCTTTTGGGGGTTAATATGCCTGTCCAATTCATCTGTATTTTTTTTTGTTTTTCGCTTGTTTTAGGAAATGGCATTTCATGACTTTTTTCTTTTTCCCCACTCTATCTCCCCACAGATGGAATCTGGAATAAGGAAGAGAGAGCAATCTCCAGTTGCAACTGTAGACAGCAGCCCTACCGATGCACCTGCCCCCGGTAACTTCCAATTTAATTCTTTTTTTTTTTCCTCACTGACTCTCCTATACAAAATACCACTTAATCCATAGACTTTAAAGAAAGAAATATTGGGCCTTTTTTAATATCACATAAAAAAAAAAAGTTTTATTTGAAAAACGTCACTGAACAATCTATTTATCTTGCAGCAGACTGTGTCTTTAGTAACCAAATGTTATCATTTGTTATATAGCAGTAATTGTAATAGGCTCAGTTGAAATCAGATAATGAAGACTTATATGTAGATCAAGATTAGGTTGCCATAGAAACTGTTCTTTCATGATTTGTTGAAATTCTGCGGATGTATACAGCCTGCACCTTAAAAAAAATCAGGACAGCATGTTGAAAGAACAGAAATATGTGCGAACCTCCTTAACATTTTGTTTTGTTTTCTAGTTTTTAACAAATAGAATTCTAGAGTAGTTTCCTGAATGTATATGGGACAGTGGTTTTCAAACAAAGACAATATTTACTTTGATCATATTTTAAAATATATATTTTGAATTTTTAAAAAAAGAAAAAAATGTAAAAATGCAGACATCTGACATGATAAGTTATATTGTTTCATTTCATAAGTGTAGCTTTATGGTTTTTTTCTGCATGAAGACCTGAACTATATTCTTCTGACAATAGTATGGATAGCATATCCATAGCAATAGGATATCCCCTGCCCCTCCAAATGATCTGTACCTGTCTGAGAAGGGAGAGGACAAACATATCGAACCTGATTTATCCTAGAGGTTACTCCACTGCCATTATTGTACCTGGGATTATTATGACCCATATTAGATATTCTAGTTCTAAATGAAACAATCTCCATATTAAAAATGTGATCAGTTTGCTCCCTGTTCCCTGTTATGGCATATGAACTTTTGAAACTGGAGAGATTGTAATATTTATTAAAGTTTAATTTAGTGTGACAAAGCTGTTTGATTACTAATCACAAAAAACACAACTAAGCACAAGGCAGAACATGTTCAGATTATCAGACTCTTGATTAATATTATGCAATACATGGAAGGGTCACAGTTGCTTAAAAGAGCTCAAGAAAGTCACAGTTTTTTAACATCTCTGAATAACATAGAACTAATGACTGCAAAAATCACTACTAGAACAGAAAGTGGAAATTCTTGACAGCCCCAGTGTACTGTCTCTTGTCACTTTTTCACTTTAGTCTTACTTAATCCTTTCATATAGCACATCCTTAGTCAAAGCTGTTACTTCTTACTGCCCTTTTTCAAGAAGAACCTTGAAAAATTCAAGTAGCTCTGAAATTTTAAAAAATTCTGTAATAAAAATGAGCATAATCTTGAGAAATTCTTGCAGAAATTCTTGCAGAAAGCTTTTTCATTCTGAGATGAAAGGAAGAGTGCCAATTCACTGGATGTCCTAGCCCACTGTCTTCAGAATTTAATATAGCTTGTGAGAGGTGGTAGTGTCAGAGATTTTCAAGATGCTTTGGTTTATGCTTTGGCATAGAAAGAGAATGTAAATTACTTTGAGCTTGGAAACAGATACTCTGTGAAATAATAAAATAAAAAGAACTCTTCTGTTGCATTAGATAGATTCTCAAACTGCAAGGTTTTCCAGTTTTCAAATTATGTTTTTTTTTGATTGAGCACCGCTCTACTCCATTAATGAAATAATAACTTAAGATTTAAAATATATTCCTTTTTTCTCTGCAAAATTGTAGCCAATTAATTTGTTCATTTAAATGGAGAGTAATACATTAAACAGCCAAAGAAATTGCAAGTTAGCTGTTATTTTTGCCTGTAGCCTGTGTTCAAAGGCTCCAAATGGTGCCGCCTCTTCTGTTGTTCAAGAGCAAAGTTTCAGAACAGATTATTCAGAAAACAAAACTTACAACTCAATCTTCATTTAATTAAATTTATTTTTTTTTCTTCTTAGTTATCTCCCCCAACAACATTGATGATTATGGGCTGCGAAGGAAGAATATCTTGAACTCTACAGTTCGTCTCAAAGCAGAAAAGCTGGAGAGAGTAAGTACTTTTGGTTTTTGAGAGGACTTTTTTCCCACCCTTGGTGCATATAAAGCAACATGAGAGTATTTCTAGCTCATTAAGCGTGAAGACATAAAATATACATAAAATATTCTATTTGGATAGTTCTTTCAGATTGCAAACTGATGCTTCATTTTATATATTGGACAAATAACTGTTTTTGCCAGTCTAGTTAGTGTTTAACTCTGTTACCTTCTGGGAATCTGAGTGTCCACCAGGACTTTTAAGGCTGTTGCTAAGGAAGAAGGTTTTTACATTCATTATACTGATTATTATTCAAGGATAAATAATATCTGAATATCTCTCAATTAGAAGGCAGTCATAAAGAGTCTCTGTAAAAAGTCTCAGTGTTGTCCCTGAGAGGATATTATGATACAAAAAGGTTGTTTGAAGTGGAGTTTTTCAATTACTTCACCCATGTTCCTGCAGTCATTATCCCTAGCCTTTTTTTTTCTTTTTCTCCAAATAAGTCTTCCTTTTCCAGGCATTGAATTATCTGGGGATACAGCCCACAGATGAACAGCAACAAGCCCTAAGGCAGCAACTTGAGAAGGATTCTGAAGGAACAGTGTCTTTTGGAGGTAATCATTTGTTAATTGCCCTAGAAAATGATGCAACACAGAAGTATAAAAATGATAGATAATACCAATTCATACATATTTTATATTAAATATCTTTTGCATCTATGTGTAAATACTGAAATAAAAAGGAACTCTGAGACAGGAATCTTTTTTTCTAAATTTTCTAAATTTCTAAATTTGCCTTGCAAATAGGGCATCTTAATAGTGTAAGGATTTTTTTTTCAAAGAAAAGGGTTTGTCCTTAAAAGATTTAATTAAAATGACATATGAAATACATTTTAAACACTTGATATATTTACTCTTATGTCTTAAGATGCTTTGTTAAATAATGGCTTTCATTTTAGTTGTAACTAGTTGTAGAAAATAAGAACACATAAGAAATAAGTGCTTAAAGAGTTCACTTTATAGGTGAACTTTCATCTCAGGTCTATTTTGAATATTTTGTTCAAGTTTTTCATGGCCTAATCTAATGTTCGTGCTTTAAGAGTAGTGTCCAAGAAAACTATAGAAGAAGGAAGAAGCTAATGGGGGAAAGGCTCTGTATTTATATAGGGTTTCATGATATTAGCAGTTGTATTATATTTGATGATACTAATACCAAACTGAAAGCACAGACTACAGCAACACAGTCTAATGCATTTTTTAGATTTTGTTCAGGTTTCAAGGAATCTGTTCTCTTTGCAATTGAATGCAACAGATGGTGACCAAAAGCCTGAAACATTTGAAGCCAATGAAATTACCAGTTTTTCAGATTCACAGGTAAAGGAAGAGATTATTGGAAAGCTTATTATTATTTATTTATTTATTTTTAAAGATTATTCCTATTTGAGACAACTTTTTAGAACAGTTCTACATCAGAACTTTCTTTAAAATAACCTAGTTTCTGAAGCAACCTACTTTGAAGGAAGCAGTTCACATAACTATTTGTGATTGTTAAGAGTATGGACAATAGTGATTTACTGAGGTTCCTTAAGTGGGTTATGTTTTACTACTCACTGTGTGATTTGAACTTCCATACTGAGGAACAATAATGTTACTGTTCTATTGGAAGAAAAGGTGCTTACAATTTTAACAAAGAACAAATTGTTAAGTATTTCTGCAAATAAGTATTTTTGAATAAGCTTAAAATTAATATTATGCTCTCATTTTATTAACAACACCTTTTAAGAAAAAAAAAAGGTAAATGACAGAGAGATGCAGTTAGCACTGGTTTCTAACTCTGCCTGTTTAAATATGCACAGTTTGCAGCTTGTGATTTGTTGGAGGATGACATGGAAAGGCTTAAGAAAGAAAGAAATGAAGCTTTGAAAGAAATAAGCAAATTAAAGGTAATACTTAATTTTCATTGCTTCTAAATTGTTCAATAAAATTTATTTTCTGAATGATCATTATTCGAAAACTTCCAAACCTGACAAGAATCAATCTATGATGGCCCTATTTTTTTGTACTCTTTTCTTAAACGTGCAATCAAAGACAGGATATTGTGTTACAAATACTCATGGTCTGACTCAGTATCTTCTGTATCTACCTTTGGCAGTATTTTAACAACCTTTCTGATAGAAACAATGGTCATAAATCTAATGGTGAAAATAACTTGAATATTAAGAACTTATATAAGAATATATACAAAATGAGTGTCTTTGCTTATTTAATGTTATTAGTAAACCTTATGTCATGGCTTAGAAGCAGCAGTATTATAGAAGTCATTAGTAAGTACATTGGTAGAAGTACAGTCATGTTGAGTGTTACTAGCTGTACTTTTGGTTGAGCTGCTTGGTCGTAAGTGAAAAATGAGAATAAAAACCAACTATTTCTCTCTTAGATCTAATTATTTCTTGTTCCCCCTCCCATCCTTCTTTTCTGGACAGGAGGAATTGTCTGAATCTGTGAGCTTACACAAGCAGTTATCAGAGGAGCTGCAGACAGTCAAGCAAGTATGTTGGAGTGTTTCAAAATGGATAATTCTGAAGATTTGTTCTTTTTTTTCTCAGTTGTTTTGGGGAATATCTTGTTTCTGCATCCATGTTCTCTGAAAATTATCAGGAGAAGAAATCACATTTGTTTAGCAAATTTAGCCATCTTCCATATCTTAAGATAAATTTCCAGCTGTGTTTGTGTCCTTCATTTATAGCTTGCCTTCAAAACCGGGTAACTAACCAGTTTCCTACCACTTCTACCCAACATTATCCTTATTAGTGGTTTTCTCTTACTGAGCTGCTTGGCCTTTCTCTACTGCTACACACACTCCTTGTAGGTTTGTCTTACTACTGTCTGCCCCATCAGATATCATAAATAAAAACGCAGCAGTTTAAAAATATGTCGTCTTAGGTTACATTACGACTAGGTTTACATTTTTCTTTATAACTGTGTATTTGTTGAGCATCTTTATTATAACCTTCAATATAATATAACTGCTTAAAGCTTTCTTGGTTCATATTGTCATATTGTGCTCTGCAGTGCAATAAACTAGATTGATTTTTGACTGAAACTTAATTGGAAGATGTGTTACAAGAGCTCATCTCATCTTGCACTTGCTAGGGGTGTTCAGTCTATCAGTCTAGACTAGAGCTTGTACAAAGTAAAAACACTAAACTGCAGATTTTATGGCCATCATTTCCTCAGGACTGAGTGTTTCAGTCTACCTGGGTGCTCCTGTCAATAAGGCAGACTTAGCCAAAGGCTATTTAAGGTAAATAGCTTGTCTGTGGTGAAGGCAATACCCACTTTCTACCACATGAGGCCGTCAAACTTTTATTTTTCTGGGAACTATTGTCATGTGACTTTAAAGGTCAGCTCTGCATGGAAGAGTATGAACTTCCAGGGACTAAATATTATTTTCTCAGAACTACTTTAACTAATTGGGATTGAAAAGGATCAAGATAGTGAAATGAAAGGGAAGTCAAATATTACAGGCAGTTTGAGCAATATTTTATTTGGAGCCTGTTTTTTAGAAGGTAATAGCAGGCTTTTCATAGAATTTGGAATGCTGTTCACACTTCTGGTGCTGTCAGGCATTTTATATACTTTTCTGTAGCTTAGAGCAAAAGTTCACACCTTCCTTTAATTGGCACAGAAATTCATTCCACGGCCAGGAGGTTGCAGAAGGCTGCTTCATCCTGAAGACCCCCTAGTCCTCATCATATTGATAGGGCCCCCTCTTTTTCTGCTGATGGTTTGTTGGTTTGATCTGTACATATGTGTTAGGGTCACCACTGCCTTAGGGAGTGCGTTAGGAAAAGGTCCCTACCCTGCCTTAGTGCTGTGCAAGGAGCCAGCTCTCAAACCAGCAGACACACACACAACAACAAGCTTTGAAACAGACTCTGTTTCCAGGCGGAGAAAATAGGAAATCATATAAAATACACACATCTAATGCTTTGTTTAAAAAGAAAATACAAAACCCCTCCAAAAAACTCTGTGTTATCATTGCATGATGTCATTGTAAGGTTTTTTTAAAATGTACCTTTTATCGCCTGTAGTCCCATGATGGAAAGCTCTAAGCTATATAAAATCAATGTTGCCTGTATTCAGTAATGAAGTTAGTGTTTGCTATGTATGTGATTACCTTTTAAAAATATTTTATTTTCTGAGAGACCAGAATGTCCCTGGCAATCTTCCAAACTGGTACCATATTGCAAAGCCATTGTAAATATGAGGAAGATGATGTGCTATATATGTCATTCAGATAAGTTTACTTATACCCCAAAACACATATCCTGTATTAAAATTAAAGATTTATAGAGTAAAGATCATATGAGGATGAGATTGGTAGGAACGGTGACCTTTTTACAAGAAAAACATTGTGGTATAAGAAAACCTGACCGAAGAACCGGTTGCCTTTGATTTTCCAGGAACATTGGTTTCACTGCCAATTACTGGAAAGTTATTTCCTAGTTATAGATTCTCAGTGTGTCTTTCTGTTCAGGCTCTGTCCCCATCTAGCCTCATTTCCAACCAGGATACAGTTATAACAGTAGGATATAATAAATTCTGGAGTAGAATAGGAGTAGAATATTCACCCAATTGTCTTTGGCTGAGGAATTTGTACAAAGAATTTTCACTTCTTTGAATTCCTTTATTTAAAGATTATAATTTTAATAATGTATTCCTATTAAATTAATTTATTTCTCCATAGCTTAAAAGAAAGCCAAGGGGAAAAATAATTTAGTGTGTCTGGTGATAGTAAACCTGAGAGCATGCTGTATATCTACATATGTCTGTATATTTTTTTTTTCTTTGCAATGGGGGCAGTTTTGGATATAGATAACTTTGTGATGAAATAATTTAAAAAGTTGTGGCTGAAAAAAGCTGTTTATTTTTCTTCCTGAAGAAGCAAGTGCTTTCTGATAAAACTTAAGAAGGAAAGAGTTTGTGCTCTAGGTGAACTTGGGTCCTGTGACCTATGTCAGTTGTTTTGCATTAAATTTAATTAAGCATTAAGGCTCATAGGAGTTTATTGATTGTGTACTTTGAGAAAGACACGAATAAGGACCCCCGTTCTTACACAGTGTACTGCAGACACTCAGCTGCAAATGGTCAGAGTCTTTATTAGCTGCTTAACCAGGAGTTTGTTGAACTAGCTACTTCCAGAAAGTGTGTGTGTATCTTCCTTTTTACTCTGATTTTTTTTTGTGTAAGACACGTCATTCATACATATTTTAAGAATAATTTGGACTGAATACCTTCTAAAGTCCATCTAAATAATGTTTCCACTCTGATTTAAGTGTGAATTAAGGCAGTAATAATCATATGTGAAATAATAACAAATACCTTAGAAGTGTTTTCTTAATACAGAAGTGATCGGACAGAGTAACAGTGTCAGATACATTTCTATAAAAATTTCGTTCTATTAAATTACAGTATTCATGGAATTCACAATTTAACTTATTAGGAAAATTGTCTTTATTTGCAAAAACCTGTTCTTTCACTGCACATAGTAAATTTGAAAATTAAGAAATGAATCATCTAATCATCAATTCTGAAAGGCAGCCTTAATGACAACTGCAATATTCTTGAGCTAAATCAATACGCCCCTCTCTCTAGTTCTCTCAGCAGGTGTTGCAACTTTTCAATTAAATTCTGTCGCTTATAGGAAGCCAAGGCAGCTGTGGAAGAGGCAAGAGCCTTGCGGAGCAGGATTCATCTCGCGGAAGCGGCGCAGCGGCAGGCGCGGGGAATGGAGCTGGACTACGAAGAAGTAATTCGCCTGTTAGAAGCTGAAATTGTAGAGCTGAAGGCTCAGCTCACTAATAATTCTGGCCAAAATAAAGTAAGCAAAGCAGTCGCCTGTCGTGGTTACCATGGTTTCCTCGCTGTTGTCATGTATCTTGTTTTCATTTTCTTTTCATCTGCTTTTCTAAAGTAGGTCACTGTTTGTCTTGTATTATTCAATAACTGGAATGATGCGTGGTGAAGGGGGTAATGCAAAGTGTACGAGCCTTTCTTTACCCAGATAGCTCTCGGCTGGGAAAATAGGAGCCAGATGCATATGTGTCCTAGGTCAATATGACACATCTCAAGTGCGTTCCTAACATGGAATACTTGATGATGATGCATATATGTGTAGGTTTCGTGTATATGTAAAAATGACCTCATCGTTTTTATTTTTTCATTTAGAAAATAGTAATAATTTGAATATTCTATTTTGACTAAATTTGGACTTAATCAATGCAATCTTTTAAATATGGTTCCTTTTCCCTTTACTACCCCCTCCAATCTAAAAGAGCTAGGTAGATATTGCTTAAATGGTGAGCTTTAAGAGAAGATTTAAATGTAAATTTGTAAATTTGATTTTTAGTGATTAAAATTTTTTCTTAATTTTGAGCCTATTTTGGTCTAAATCTTTTGTTTAGCAAACAGTTTAGCTGAACAAAGCTGCTCAGAAACAAAGGAAGATCTTCCTCATGGTCCTCACATAGGAACAGTACTGGGGACACAAGCTGAGACCTCGAGCCTCCAGGACTTGAGCTAATGAGACAAAATGTAGCTGGGGCTCACGTTCTGTGTAGCTGGAGTGCAGAAAGGATGCTGAATGCTGGTCAGTACGTTACACAAGTGCCTATAGAGCAATCCTAGGGGGTGATTTTCTCCCAGATATGCTGCAATTACCCCACTGGGCAGCGGATGTTCCCACTCAGCTCAGTGAACCGAGTTTGTTAGGGCACTTGCCATTTATGCCACCCTGCTGACAGGTCCTGCCGGTTCCTGATCCCTTCAGTTCCAACCAGCCGAAGTTTCATCTCTCTTAATATTTTTATCTTCTTATTTTTGTTTACTGTAATGCTAAAAGCTGGAAACTATAGTAATTTAGAAGCTGATTTTCTAGCAGATTAGACATGCCTCCTTGGGAATAGCTACTCTTTTTTTAATGTTATGTTAAACTTTTTGGACATCCATTTTTAATTCCCCATCTTGTATGCCAACCCTACAAGAATATGATTCAAAGGAAAGCCTTAAAATAATGTGGACCAAATATCTTTCCTAGGATAATATCCAAGACTTGAGAAAGAGAGTCACAGTGCTTGACTGCCAGCTGCGGAAATCAGAATTGGCTAGGAAGACCTTTGAGGTGGCTACTGGAAAGTTGCTGCAATTTGTAGAGGTAACTTAGCCTATTATTTATAGAAACACTCTATTTGCAAAAGTTGCGTATTGGCATTTAAACAGATTAAATGCTAAACTGTACACAAACACTTTGTGGAGACCATTTCACAACTTAAAACAACTTGATAGAAAAGAAAGTAGTGTTATAAGGCAAGGCCATGTAGGAGTTTATTTAATCTTTGTATATATGCAGAACAAATGAAATTAGTCAGAAATTTTTAAACTATGGCAATTTCTGTGAAATTCCTCAGAGGGGAGAGGCAGAAATAATTTTTGAAAACATTTTGTAGTTATAAAGCAAAACCAATGAAATTCTAATATTTACTCCACTTAAAAGTTACTCTTTTAGTTTTTATTTCTATATTAAAGCTAGCATACAGAATCCCAGAATAGCTGAAGTTGGAACGGTACTTTTGCAAGCATCACCCTGCTCAAAGCAGGGTCAAATAGGACAGGACCTTGTCCTCCTGAGTCGTGCAGTCTCCGTCCTTGGCAATATTCACAATTTCCCTGGGCAATCTGTTCAAGTGTATACTACCACTCAATGCATCTTTTCACAATATAACACCAAAAGATATTTGCATTAATCTATTTTATTCATTATGTAAAATATTGATGGGTAATTACTTAGTGTTTCTGAAATATTTATCTTTTTGTAGATGAAAGTGATTTTGTTGAAATGGAACAGTTTGACAAGTTCAAGATATGTCAGGCTTTGACTAGATTCAGTGCCAAGAATTTGCATGTGTGTGTGGATTAATAATTCCAGTCATAGGCTTTTTCTGGAAATACCAGTTACATTAATATTTGAAAAATGAGAAGCAGCAATTTTGAAAAATGCTAATGGCCAGGATAGTAACTATAAATGTCTGTCAACCTGCATCATTTTGTAAGTTCTGTAGTAGTTGTTTAGCAGAATCCTTGCTATTGAGGGATAGGAAGATGGAGGGGATGGAGTGACAAGGATCTTTGAAGTCAACAGGAAAATCAGTTGCTCAAATCACTGTTTGTGTTGTACACCCGTTGTCGGGGTATGGAGAAGGTATCTTGCATTTTATGATGACAGAGAAATGTCAGCATAGAAATGGATTTAGATTGCATTGTTGGAATAGGAAATTATTGATGGCATAATGAGTGGAAAATGCTTTTACCCATCTGGCTGGGAGACACTAGGCAGTTTATAAATACATGTCAATCCTCCCTGCCTCACCCTTCACCCCCTGCCTCCCATCCACCCAATTAGAATAGTGATTTATAAAGTACTAACTTCTTGACTGTGACCAACAGGTTGTGCATGAAATACTCTCAGATAACTCTGCTTCCTCGACAGTTGTAAGGTAAGCAAATCTGAACTGTGTTGTAATGAAATGACAATTATAAATATTTAAAAACTTCACTACAGTTTTAGAAGTGTTCACAAATCATCTTGCGACTAATTTTCTTGTAGTTTATTGCCACGTGTTTCTGAGTGTCACTTCTACTAGAGGAAAAAAAGTACATTAAGTTTTTAGGATAAAGCTTCATTAAAACACTGGAGAGAGAAATTAAAACAGTTTGGAACTGCATAGCTGTGGCCGTCTCCATGTTTCCATCAGTGAATGATGCTATACAGAGCCGTAGGTAACATTACAAGGAACCTTATAATGGTTTGAAATTCATTCTTATCTCTTACAAGAAGTTTGGAGAGAAGCCCAAGAGATTTTTACATCATAATTAATCTGATAACAGATAAATAGATACATATTTCTATGTATTTCTAAGTTTTATTACTTTTCATTTTTTAAAAAGTGCTTAAGAATATTCAACAAGACTTAGAGCAGCATTTGTTACTTTATAATTTCGACATAATCTCACCTATATCTCCCATATAGTCTGCCATAAATATCTACATAACATTATTTTGGTCTAGGTGCTGCCATATTTTTCAGTAAAGCTCTGAAGGAAATCAAGTCTATTTGTGTGAAACTAGTGGGAACTTTATTTTGAATAAAATCTGCAGGATCAGCTACTAACACTCTAGCTATTTCTGTTCTCTCATGCTAATCCTAATCAATTAAATGCAATTCCCATTGGCACTGCTTGAGAGCAATGTTATATGTTTTATATAATCTTTTTTTAGTAAATGATTGAAGTGTAAACTACAAAGCCAAGGTCAGAAACTGATTCCCTAACAGCCAGAAGAGAAAAATTGGTTCCCTAAAGCAATGTCACTTCCTAAATGCTAATATCAAAATACTTTTAAGCAAGTTACTTATCTGACATCCAGTGAGTTTTTGACACTGGATTTTGAGGAATGAGGTATGTTATTACCTCTAACCTGAACTCCTCAATTTGACAATAAAAATCTTTTTTGTTTGTAGAATGAAACCAAAACCAATTTGGAAAAAGTAGTTTACTATATTGAAAGTAGCATTTTCTTTTGTGATCTTACAAACCAACATTCATTATTTTGTGTTCTTCAGTGACAGAAGAACAACGTTGTCTACTAAAGCGCTCCTTGCACGACTGGGAAGGATCGGACCTACTGTCACAACAGCCCTTGCAGCAGAAGCCAAGGACCTTGCCAAATCTGTCCGTGCCATTTTGGAAGTGGATTGTGAGTATATGTGTGTGCATACACACATAAATACTTTTCTTTGGCCAAATACTGCATTTTTCACTCTGAATTCTCCTGTTTGTGTCATGTGCACAGTTTCTCTACTTTCCGGTTCATCAAAAGGCGTTAACCTAAAAAAGCACAGAGGAAGAAATGGAGGTATCATGTTGAAAGGTTACTTAAATTCTATTCGATAGCATCAGTCTTCCAAAAACATATGTGAGGGATTTTTTTTCAGTTTAAGATCACCTTGCTCTAAAAACTGGGAGGAACTGGTCAGTAGTAAACATCACATAGGAGTCGAGAGATCTGGATTTCCTTGCGCAAAAGACATCATCTGAAATTCACTGAAATCAGTGGAAATGTTTGCATTGAGCTTGGTGGGCTTTGAACAAAAGCCATAAGGTGAATTCAGTGTGAAAATATTTCTGAATATTAGCTTTAAAACCAAGTATTTTAAACCACACCTCTACATTGAGTGATACAGATCCCTCTTCCAAGCTGTGACAGATGCAGAATGAGGAGGTTTCTCTGAATCTTTAAAAATCTGATTACAGCTTCTAAATCTGGCATCAATTCAGCAGCAGAGAGTTTTTGTTTTAATTTTAAAATGGATGTGAACTGTTAGATTAAATCACTCATTGCACCAGAAGAGAGTGAAGGTTGAAGACATGAATGTATATAGAATACAGTATCTTAATGAAGATAATTATGGTGGCAATGATCATAGTATCATAGGCTTCTATATTATTTCCTTATTGCTTGGGAATTAATTTAGACAAGTACTGAATAAGTACATTGGCTGAAGAAACTTTTCAAGATATAAAAAAATAATCTTGGCAATATTTATGCATCGTTTGCTTATTGTATCAAATACTGCATGGAGGAGAAAACAAAGAAAATAAAACATTGTGCAGAAGTGTCCAGAAAATCAGAATTAGAGTGACTAGAACAGATGAACAGAAGAGCTGTGGTCAGGAGAGGGGGAGATGGTTTTCCACCCATGACGATGGAAGTGCTCTGTCACATCAGGTTGTTTCTATCACACTGCCCAGGAAATCATGCGAGGAATACTTTTCACTCCTAAATGCAATTGAAGTGTAACATGTGGTTGTGTCAAATATAATAGATAGAGTTTGGATTAGAGAGCTCTAGAGCCGTAGCGTGGACCCATTTTATAAACCTGAGAGTTTAAAAATAGCTCTGCAGAGAAGGATTTAAAGATTGAACGTCGTCATTCTGGGTTCACTCTGATCTGGAGAGTATTACAGATAGACTTGGGCTCTGACGAGCTTGGGTATGAGATTAAAGCTTTAAAGCACGCTCTCAAAAAAAAAAAAAAAAAAACACCAAGAAAAGAAAAGGCAGTTCAGGCAGAGTAGCTGTTCAGCAGCTTTCTGTCTGCAGTGCTCTGTGCCAGATTCCCGCAAAATGTTTCTCTCGTGATCTTCCTGCAGATGGGCTGCCCTAAAAAGGGACTGTTACGGATATGCCAGTTCAAAAATGTCATATTTCAAAGAAAAAAAGCAATATACTGAATATTACTTTGAATAGGAAAGACTTTTCTTTCTTTCTCTCCCTCTCAGAAAGGTGTTCTCAACATAATACTCATTTTATGCAAAATTAAGTAAAGGAACATGCCCCAACAAAAATTATCTTGCATCTTTTTGATTTGCTTATGGTGCATGTGAAACAAAGTCTAGGGTTTGAGGTCTGGTCTGTGCACAGTTGTTACAGATCATCCTTGACATTCAGGACAGAATGACATATGTATGAATTAGCCACACAAACTGTCCTCTTCCAATATAATAGCACCGCTTTTTGCCTGAGGAAAGAGGTTTAAAGTTCAGTATATTCTTCAGAATCTACAAGCCTAATTTGTGATTGTGCTGTGTATTTGGAGTCAGTTTGGCAACTCCTTAAGTAAGGCTTCTGTTTAAAAAGAAAAAAAAATTGTACAGGATCCTCAAGATATCCAGAAATGCAGATACGAAAATAATAAACAGTATAATCAAGATCATCCCTTGAAAGATTCATTCTGCATCTTCTTGAAGACTGTTAGCTATTTTTAAACTAAATCCTGGGAGGTTTTTCTGCTTTGCAGAATACAAGCATCTCCTGAAGATACAAAGAAAAAGCACTTTCATCGTACAAACAATAAATAATGCCTCAGTGAAGGCATTATTTATGTAGCACTTAAAAGTAGTTGCTGACTGCACTCAATAGTCTATATGATGAAAATCCTGCTCAAAAGAGTTAAGAAAATGTTAAGAAAGTCTACTACAAAATTTTAAAAAAACTACTTGATATTGATAATGTCCAGAATATGATTAATCCAGGGACATAGTTATTTATTCCTTATATAGAAGCAATAGGCATTTCGAAAGTTGCATTAAGGTAGTGCAAGTTTCCAGATTTTTTTTTTCTCTGCTGGTTTCTCACTCTGCCTGTACCCAAAATACAGTCTTGCTCTTGTTGATATAATTCTAGTCATCAGTACCCCACTAAGTGCTATAAAGCCTGCCTCTCTGCCCAGCAGGAACTTGAGAGGTGCATCTCTAAACATCACGTTCCTTTAATCTGTTGTTAGGTTAAAATCTTCTACATGGATGTTACACTGAAGTTCACTAAAATGATCTTGAAATCAACACATCTTTCAAAAATCCTGCTTACCATGTTAAGTGTTGCAGTGTTCTTGCTGATGTCGATCTTGCAAGTCACCATATAAAAACACATTTATTTGTGAACATCCTACAGACAGAAGCTTAGGTGCAGTTGCCCAATTTTGGGTTTTATTTTGGGTATTATTTATAAAAAGAAATCAGTGGAAATTGTGGGTGATCAGCACAGATTAGTGCCTCATCTCATGATAATCAAGTTGCTCTTCATTTTTGAAGCATAGACAAGGTCTTGCATTTTGGTTGTTAACAACTGGAATATGGAAGCTATCCACTTCTTTGGTTTGATTTTTCTTAAGTACATTATGGTGAGTTGCCAGGGTCATTCTGCGTTCAGCAAACCGTTAGCTGTGCCTTTCTGTTTGCTTGGTGTGGGTGCAGCAAAGCAGGCAAAGTGGCATGTCTTTTCAAACCATTTTGCTCTTTTGAGGAGAGTTAATTTTGTTAAAAAATAATATTCCTTTTACTTATACATTGCAACCTATTTTTTTTAATTACAACAGAATTAATGCTAGGTACATTATTACAATTAATTATATTTTTATAG